TTTTCCTCATTTTCCTTTCTTTCCTTTCCTTTTTTTTTTTTAAGCTCTCCAGTTGCCAGAGTGTAAGAGAACAAAGGGAATAGAAAAGGATTCCAATTCTTTCGGGCCCTCCAGCAAAGGTAAAAAAACTTGGTGCCCCCCCAAACTTTGTTTTCACACATCACATTTTCACTAGGGTCCTATCCCCCCAAAGTAAATACTGATCCCTTTTTTTACAGTCTCTTTCCAGGATGGAAAACCCCCCAAAAAACACCCCACACAACTTCCTTCAAGCTTTGGGGTATTTTTAGACTCTTTGGAAGTGGTTAAAAATATACACCAACAACTGCCAGGTCTCAAAGATTAGGTTCCCCCCTCCCGTGGCTGCGGCCTCTGCCAGCCCCCCCAAAAATCAAGGCAGAGGATTGTTTTGATGAGATTAAAAAGTTCCAAACAGCTTTTCCGAGCTTGCCTGCCCCCAGTCAGATTTTAAAGTGATTCTGGAAAGCCTCAAAAACAGGGATTCGGCTCCACTCGCTGCTGGAGGTCCCCCTGGAATTCCTAGGGATCAAAGGGGCTCCCTTGCCTCGTCCTTACCGCTTTGGCTGTTAGTCCTGGCTCTGCCCCTGCCCACAGCCTTGGTCTCTCTTCTCTCTGCTTTCCAAACCTCTTGAAATGAGAGTTTAAAAAAAAGTCCAAAAAGCCCCCAAAAAAACCTCCTACCTCCAACATGAGGATCCGCTGGGTCCTAATGCCACACCTGAGCCAGCCCCTTCCTCCTCCAGCTGCTGCCTGTGAAGAGGGGAAAAAAAATCCAAGTAGGAATTAAAAGTGATGATCAGTAAGAACACATCGATGCAATGGGCATCAGGGATAGGGTGTTTTTGTTGTTCGTTGGGTTTTTTCCCAGTTGGATAAACTTTAAATCCATTGAAAAATGAGGAGGGAGGAGGATCCTGCGCACGCCGGCACGGATCAGGCTGGGATTGTGCTGCTGGAGGGAGAGATGGAAGGAGCAGCTCAGGGAATTGCTCTCTCATCTCATCAGCTCTTGGATAAAAACTCAAATAATCCCCCTCAAATTTAGGATCCTGGGACCGTATCACCCCCTCCTCATCCACACTTGGCATTAACCCTCCATCCTCCCTGCGGAGCAGCGAGGATGCTGGAACCCCACAGTGGATTGAGCCTGGGATGGAGGGGGAATAAAAAAGGCCCCAAATCCCTGGTTTTCCCACCCAGGCTGAGGATGCCGGAGCTGATCTGCAGCCCCTGCGTGGAGGCAGAGCCAGCACTGCTGACTGTGGGGCCCTTTTTCCCCCGGCTCGCTGGCGGCTTTCCGGAGCACACGGGATACTGACTGCATCCTGGCGAGGCTGGGGATGAGCCCTGAAACCCCCCGAGGCTGCTGGTGATGGTGCTAGCAGAGCAAAAGAAAAACCCTGCAGATTGGAGGTGTAAAACCAGCAAAGAGAGGGGATGGAGGGAGAAGGGCTCTGGAGACAGGGAATGAGCAATGAGGAGACAGCGATTTTCACCTATGGGACAGGATTGTACCCACTGCACTCAGCTCACAGAGGGCTGTGCTGAGCTGTGTGTAGCCAGGAGAGGGTCTGCTTGCTCCCAAAACTGGGAAAAAACCTGGATTTGCAGAGCAGGATGAGAAGCAGAGAGGGTTTGAAGGTGCTCCCATCTCCTACCAAGCTTGGGGTTTCCACTCTGAAGGATGGATTAAACCATCCAAACAACTCCAAACACATCTCAGCAGCTCCCACAAAAGCTTGTGCCGGCCCCAAAATCCAGCATTATCCTCATGCCAGCCCTGTTAACCTTTATCCAAGGGCAGGAGCTGCCTGTTAATAATTAAATGGATTTTACAACCCCCCTGGGGCCGGGAACACCCTCCAAAAGCAGCCAAGCAAAACACTCCAGTGTGTGTGTGTGTAGAAAATCCAAGGGGAAACGGATCCTGGGTGCCTTTTGCTTTTAAAATTGCCAGGAACAGGCAAAATTCTCTGAGTGCTCTGTGTGTGTAGATTTTTTTTTTTAGGCTCAGGAAGCCTGGATTAGTAACTCCAGCCTTGGCTAGGATTTCAGGAAACCTCTTACCTCTGCTTGTGCCTCATTTCCTGATCTAATCCCCAGCTCCCGGAGGGCAGAGAGGCGCCGCCGGCGCTCGGAGGGGGTTAGACTTTCCATGGAGGCGAGTCCCTGCAAGAACCAGCCTCTGATCCAAGAGCCAGGCTCGGAGGCAGCTGGAAAACCCTCGGAGGGGGATGCAGACAGCACATCCCCCTCCCTGGTGAGCAGCTCTTCTTCCCCTTTTGGGATGCGGCATCTCCATCTACCAGCTCTTCCTCGGTTGGAGGAGTGAGGGTTTGGAGTCTTGGCCAGGACACCTGGGTTTTTCCAGCCATTCTGATTATTTTCTAGGAAATTCCAGCTGGAAAGAGACTATTTAGCTCAGTTTGGGCTGCTGAAATCCCAGTGGTGTCATCCCTGGCTTTGCTCTCTGCTTTCGAGCATCGAGGCGAACATCTTCCAGTCTGGATGGGGAATGAGGTGACCCTACAACCTCTTTCCTACTCTCCTACTCCACGGATACTCACCCACGCCATCGATGCCATCCTGCCTCCATCCATACCAGGCAGCACAATAAAGCAGTCAAGAAAATAGTGCTAATTTATTAGACAACACCCACGAACCCAAGAGCGGCACCATCACTCTCCCAACGGCACTTACACCTTGAGGCATTGGAGTTGAGTTAAAAAATAAAGAGATCTGTGGGGTTTTAACACTATAAAGGTCCCATCCAAAAGCAAAACTGCTCTGCAGGAGCATTCCAAGCGGAGAAGGGGCCCATGGCCAGTCCCTGGGTGCTGGGGATGATGGAGCAGCATCCTTGGCAAGCTGGGGATGGGAGTTGTAAACTTCCTACACATCTAGGGTGGGCGCAGGGGGAGGCCGAGGGACTTCACAGTGAGCAGAGATGTGAGGTCAGGGTGGGTGTCCTCGCTGTGAGAAGATCAGGGAATCTCTTCCTGGTGGTTTTGACCAGCCAGGAGAGGACGGGGAGGTGGCATCCTGCTGGGGAACAGTACCGGTGCCCAGCGCAGGGAGAGGGGTGTGAGGACAGCACACGAACGGGAGAAATCCTGGAGGATGAGCCAAGCAGGATAGTTCCTCCTCTTCCTCTGGATCTTCTCCCTCAATTTCTCCTCTACCACCTCCTCTTCTTGGCCATGGCTGTGGGACCACCACGGCCGTGGGACTGGATTCACAGCTGCAATGTTGAGGGTCTCCCCGAGGGATCCTGCCTGCCACATCCCTCCTTTTCCCAGGATAAATAAATAAAGGACAGTGTCCAAGGGCTGGCAGGCAGGAGGGGAGCCTGGGGCCTGCTATCTGACAGCGATGGACATCCTGGGGGTGGCAAAGAGTGGCTCATTAAGGGGGGGCCAGGATGGCTGCTGCTGGTTCAGCTCCTTCTCCAGCCTCTTGAAAAGCTTCTTGGATGCTTTTTTCCGGCGCAGCTTGCGGAAGCAGCTGAGCAAACCATGGTCCAGGGCGGTCTGGAGCAAAAGGAGGGAGGAAAACAGATTTGGGGGAGGCTGTTCCTAAGGACAGGACAGAGCTGATCCCAAGGTGAGCTCTGGGCCCTCCATGCTCAAAGACCCAAAAGGACAACATATGTCCCTCACGTGCCCAAAGCCCAACCCGACCCACCTCCAGCACGAAGGCAGCGAAGAAGTTGAGGGCAGCAATCCCCAAGAGCAGCAGCTTGAAATTCAAGTCCTCGATACTGTGAAGCTTCAGGAGGGTTTTGGGGAAGCCCAGTGGGTAGAGGGTCAACCAGATCATGAGGCCGAAGAGGAGGATGAGGACTAGCAAGAAGAGCACTGAGGGCGAGAGGGAAGAGGGTTGAGGAGGAGGAAGGTTGGATGTGTCTCTGCATCCACGTGGCCAGAATCCTGCTCACCGTTGGTGTAGAGTGGCTCCCGGAACGGGTACCCCTTGGACATGGCGACGGCCAGGATGAGGTACTGGAAGCCCGTGACACAGAAGAGGACAGTGTTCTCATAGTTGGGCAGATTTTGGGGGGCTGTCACCGTGCTGTTCAGTGGCACATACCTGAGCCAGGCAGGGGAGAAGGCACAGAGTCAGGTGAAGAGAGGCAAGGAGAGAGTCTAAACACCCTCGAGCACATGGGAGCTGTCTGCTGCCAGGCAGCTGGATGCACCCTGGATGTCAAACTCAAGGACAAGCCCATGGACTCTGTCACAACCTCCGTCCTCACTAAACACACCAAAGCCAAGGAAGGTTTAGATTGGATATTAGGAAAAATATCTTCACAGAAAGTGTTCTAAAGCAGTGGTGGAGTCACCATCCCTGGAAGTGTTCAAAAAACACTTTGGGACATGGTTTAGTGGTGAACATGACAGTGCTGGGTTAACAGTTAGACCTGATGATTTTTAAAGCTCTTTTCCAACCTTAAGAATTCCATGACTCCATGATTCTAAGCCAGGTCCCTTACCAGGTCTGTGAGACAGTGATGAAGTAGCTGAGGACTTGCACAGTGATGAGCAAAGCTGTCTGCAGGAGGAGGCTGCCCAGCACCAGGACACTGATCAATGCCCCTTGGGGACGCTCCACTCCCAGCTCCTGGGCAGGACCAGTGCGACCCATCAGCACAGCCACGGTGGTTGTGATGATCAGGTCGAAAAAGAGGAACTGGAAATCACTCAGGTTGGTGTTGATCTGGGAAGGAGAGAACACACAGTCTCAGAGAGGGGCTTGGAAAGGAACAGGT